GGAAGGAAGGAAGGAAGGAAGGAAGGAAGGAAGGAAGGAAGGAAGGAAGGAAGGAAGGAAGGAAGATTTAAAAATCCAGTAGCCCATAGCTTTCACTGCTAGTTTATCCAATGTTGAGGCAAGAAGGTCATTGACAAAATGATTGTCAATTTCATCTACTGCTCTTCACTTTATGTGTGGACAGCTGAGATATAGCTGCAAAGGGGTCATGCTGGCATCTCCCTTATGGGACCTAAAGCTCAGGAACTATGAGGAGGTATTAGGCAAGAGGTCTCATCAGCGAGGAAACCAAGCTGCAGTGCACCCAAAAGTAAAGCAAAGCAAAACTCTAGCTTTGCAGTGGTTTCCAGTACATCACTGGTGAAATCAGATATAAATGAGCTGAAGTTTCTATTACTGCGGACAGCATGGGAACACAAAGGTTCAGACAGAGCCAACTACTTCAAGCCAAAATGAGGTCTTGTGTGTCATGATGTCATCATACAAATGTTGTCAATTAAGTAATTGCATGTGATATCATTTCTCATGCCCACCCCTGATCCCACCACAGAAATCCATGAGACCAGAGCTCTTTTTAGATTGAAATAGCTTTCTTGTGTAGAATTATCCAGAGAAAAGCAAAAGTTAATGATTCTTGATCTGCCCCAGTTTCTTCCATCTGTTAATTAGATATATTTGGATGTGAAAAACAAATGTTCCCAGTTTAGTGCACCTTTCACTATTTCACTGGGCTGTTGGTTGTTTAACCTGGCAGGACTGTTCTGGGGATGAACCGGCCATGGTTTGAAGTACTTGATATGTTAAAATGATATAATGTCTATTACATAATATCTATAAAACAAACATTTTAAAAGATCCTTTCGTTCACTCATTTCTAGTGGAGAAACCATTCAAGTGCGAATTCTGTGGACGGAGTTATAAGCAGAGAAGTTCATTGGAGGAACACAAAGAAAGATGTCGGACATACCTGCAGAATGCTAGCCTCAGTGAAGCTGGTGAGTAGTTGGGAATTTGTAATTCAGTTGGTGCGTTGGAACAATCTTGGGAATCTTACTTCCCTTTTGCTGTAAGGAAGGGCAATGGAGCTATGTAATTAGTTGAATATATTATGGGAACTTAAATATCATACAGCTAGTCCTTGCTTAACGACCACAGTTGGGACCAGCAACTCCATTGCTAAGTGATGCAGTTGTTAAGTGAAACATCATGTGACTGCGACTTGCAATTTTCCTGCTGGTTTCTCTGTTGAGACTGCTTGTTGGAAGCTGGCTGTGAAGCACACACATGGGGATCACATGACCATGGGACACTGTGATAGTAGGAAACAGCCACCAGTTGTGAAGTGCCCAAATCTCATTTTGTAAAAATTCTCTTTAAGTCTATAACTAATGTAAATTTCAATCCCTTCAGCCACATATTCTCCCACTGATAAAATGGGCTAAAACTTTGGTTATAATGTACAAGTGAAGTGCCCAAATCTCGATCATGTGAACACAGGGGATGCTGTGACAGTCATAAGTGTGAGGATTAGTTGTAAAGTTACTTTTTCAACACTGTCGTAGCTTCAAACGGTCGCTAAACAGGGCAGTTGTTAAGCAAGGTCTACCTGTACATATATAGAACTTCTTTCTTCATGGTGACTTTAATGACAGGTGGTTTATTATAAATACATAAAATTTATATAGTATAAATACACACACACATACACACACACACATATATACATACTATAATTTTATTGCAATTTTTAAAAAGAAATACAAAAAAAATGGTACAAAAACAAATTGAAAGAAAAATAGTAATATGTATACATCCAATAAATTAATTAGTGTTAGCCTTGCAGGGTAAACCAGAGAGGAGTCACAACCAGATGAGCTAATTCTACTTTATTGTAAAGCTACACTGACGGATTCTTGCAAGTATGAAAGTACAATCCTCCCCCCATCTCCTTTACAGCTGAGAAACGTGGGGGGGGAGGTCTTTTCTGAGCCCCTTGCCCTGTCCACTATCTAGCTGCGGGCTGTGCTCTCTCTTATCTGACTGTTCCCTTGGCAGCATCTCTTGGCCTAATCTCCCAAGGTCTTTCTCATATACCATTACAATTAGTAATGAAATTATAATACCAAAACAAAAGAAATAAAATAAGAAGCAGAAAAAAACAAACCTTAAAATTAACATACTAAATTAATATAAATTTTAAAGATATCACATATTCATATAATCATTTAATAGCAATGTATAAAATTGTACATAAAATGTGTATTCTTGTAAAATCTTATGAAATATATGCCAAAGAAAAGCATTGTATGTCATTTTTTAATTAGAAAAATATCCTTTTAAAAAATGGCTATAAATCCAGTCTTTAATACCCAGTCCAGGGTAATAGTACTTTTCCAGTCTCTCTCTATAATTTTCTTGGCTGTTCTCCACAACCTACTGTATATAAACAATATTTTTCAAGATTCAGTGTTCGTAATTCTGGAATATAATTCAAGACAATATTAGCATATTATAAACAATGACAAATGGGAATGGACCCAAACATCAGTTCAGCCTCAGAGTATTTAACATAGATTGCCATCGCCTGATATAGGTGATTGATTGTATGCCACCAAGTTGGTGTTGACCCTTAGTGACCACACAGATAGATTTTCTCCATGACAATCTGTCCTGAAACTGGTCCTTCCAATGATGTACCCATCGCCACTGTAACTGAGTCCATCCACCTTGCTGCTGGTCATCCTCTTCTTCCCTTTCCTTTCACCTTTCTCAGCATTAAAGCCTTTTCCAGAGAGCTGGGCCTTCTCATAGTATGTCTGAAGTAGGATAATTTGAGCCTGGTCATTTGCACCTCGAGTGAGAAGTTGATCCATCGGTTTGTTTTCTTGATCGTCCATGGTATTCTCAGGAGTCTTCTCCAACACCAATCCAATACAGGTCTCTCCCTTTAAATGTCCTGAGCCAATGAGAGGAATGGAACCCTGCTAAGTTTGCCTGGTTTTGATTGATCCTGTATCAGTTCTGTTCTAAGCTGATCCAAGCTCCCAGACAAATGTAAAGGGGTAGCCAGTCATACCACTGAAGGGACAGCATTAAAAAAATCTCTGTCTTAAGGCATAGGTTGCCCCAAAATGGTAGGTACATGGCATCACAGTTCAAATGGCTTTTACTGTGCCAATCTGTCTTGCTGCTTCTACAGTGGGAAGTTTGGCTGGTAATATGTTTGTGCCACTCTTTTTCATTGCTGGCCTGAAAGTAATGGTTGACATACAATTGTATTTAGCATTTGTTAGTATTTGATAGTTTGCTGGTTTATGACAATCTCTACCTATACTTTTTTTTTAAAAAAGCAGGAAATATGGATTTAAAAAACATAAGTTCTTGTTTAATACAGCACTTCAAAATTCATATTTGAAATTTGGCAAATACGGTGTTTTGAGGTACTTTCAAGTATTTTATCAACATCTCAGGTAGTATAGAAATCTCTGATTATAATATTTGTGGCACAAAGAATGGAACAGTTGGAATTATCAATATCATTGAAAGGAAGCCCTACTCATTCTTTTGATCATGAATGACGGAGGTAAAAAAAAAAATGGAGACTGCCCATACTCAGGGCAGCTGTCTGGCTCAGGTATCAGATTTACCTTGTCTATTGGAGGGGAGAATATGGGGATTTTCCATATTACTTACATACTTAGAAGTTGTATCTCACCTTTGCCTGACCGCTCCTCTGGAATTTGTCACTGATGATAATGTTAACATTTGTGACCACAATGCTGAGAACGTTGGGGGAAGGTAGGGACATGCATGTAACATCTAATTCAAATGTGGCTCCCATGCTTGATCACAGATTCATATCAGACCATTAACAGGTTCTCTTTTTCCGTGTTCCATTCCCTTGGTGACCACATCATTTGGTGTTACAGGAAACAGTGTCGTTCATTCAGGTCACGCTTAGTGCTTCTGAGGTTTTGTTAACCAGCTCTCTTGCTCTGAAAAATGTGAAACTTCAGTACTGTATAGGCCTGGAATGACAGAAATCACATGTTGGAACAGTGTGAACTGTCTCCCCAAAAGACACACAACTGTAATAATAATAGAATAGAGACTCAAAGGGTATAGAGAGAAATGAAATAAAAAGAAAAATATTGATTATAAGATAGAGAAGTATGATGATGATTTTAGCTATTAATTCTTAGTGTTCCTTGATAGCTTTTTCAATTCCATAATTTAAATTTGAATATCAATAGATGACATTTAAGTTAATGTCATATATAAATAAGTATTAGTGATACTAGCTTTAATTGGGTTGATTGACTAGATTAAATTTAAATATATTTATTAATAGAGCTTCTTTAATTGAGGGTTTGAAAAAATTGGTTCACAAATTTATTTTCTGTAATACAGAAATATATTTTGTTGTAACTAGTTTGTCAGCTGATTTATTTCTATCAATTAACTAATTTTAATTACATTTTCTGTTAACTTGAAATATTTATTCTCCACTTGCAACTATACCTATTTTATATTTTTGAACCAATGCTTGAATTGAAACACTGTTTTGAATTTTTTGCTTTTCTGAATTTCACAATGTAGTATTTCAATTTAAAATGCACACATTAGCAAAAAATATTTGCAAAAATGCATATTGTTGGGCAAAGTACATGCAAAATGCATCTATTAGAAAAATGCACATAAAATGTATATGAAGTTTCATGTAGAATCTTAAAAATATTAAGTATTCCATATAAAATTTCATAATGTCCTATTGACTGCGTGACAGATTTTATATGTGAAATTGGAACATAAACATTTGACTTGGAAAAATGGGAAACCAAGAAGCCACAAGTGACAGATTTACCCATCTCTAGTTGTAGGTCAACAAGAGATATCTTTTGTCTAGTTGCATTTACGTAAAGTCAACTTAAAACAGGCCCGTATCCTATTAGAGGAACTTGCATGTGTATTCTACAATGCATGGAGACACCTCCAGGTAGTAAATTAATATTTTCCGCGTGATCTGAGCATTTTCCCCTCATAGTATGCAAGCCACATGGAAAGGAGTATGTACGGTTAGACTGTACATTATTTAGAAATAATCGAGTAACCACTCCATGCAAGCATCCTGTTGGCTTCTTGAACTGTTTTGATGTTGTTGAGTTTCAAGTACAACGGAGCACACTTGTGAACTGAGACTTAGTGAAATGGCATCCAGTGTCTTGTCTGCGGGGTGGTAGGATCTCATGTCACTAAATGCGACACTGTAGACAAGAACCCTTTGCATGTTGAAAACTAGAAGGCTTCTAGCCATTGCAATGTAGTCAATTTTTAAAAACTGCCATTTTAAAAAACTGCATGCAAAGTGTGCATAAGATGAAAAGTGGGCACAAAAAATAATAAATTTAGAAAATGTACATATTGTTGGGGGGACTGGAAAAGTACACAGAAAAGATCATACTTAGGAGGAATGTGTGCATTTTGATGTGGTTTTTTGAATATTTTGAAATCACAAAACTAAGGAGATAAGCAAAAATGAACATAAGATTGGGTCTTTCCTAAAAATTGTGTGAATTATTCTTCCTTACCTCCCATCCTTAAATTGAAAACAGAATTGAGGCATTTTGCACTCTTTT